ACAATCTCCAATGGGAAACAGCCAAAAAAACAGACAGAAAAACATCCACCCCAGGGATATTAGACCCGGAATTCAATTAGTTGACTGTAGAGCCACCCGCCATAATCAGCCCTCCCTCTTTCTCCATGTGGGTGGAAGTCCAGTTCCTGCTGAACGTCTGTGCGCACTGTGGCTGTGACGCTGCGGCCTCATTGCCGCCCCCTCACCTACTGGCCAATCACAGAACAAAGCCTGTGGCTGTGTGTTTGGTGATGAACAAGGGGAGAAAGGAATGGAGTTAAGACTACAAGTGCTACAGTTGCAGGCATAGAACTTCAGCAGGAACTGGTCTTCCGCTGAGACATAAACAAGATGGCTAGACAGTGCTGAATGCGGCAGGGGGCTGTACAGCCAAGGCATTATTCAGCTTATTGCACTCGCACTTGTATGTGCACCCCCTTTTCTTCCATCAATCAACAGTGCACTCCACTCCCCTCAAAAGAGAAGCAAGGTAGAGCAGTGGTCTTACCTGGAACTTTGCCCTAGTATTTGTATGGAAGCTTGTGGTGTACCATCACTATGTACATACCCATAAGGTGTGTTCTGACTGGCTGCTATGGATTGGTGCAGTTTGTGTAGTCAGCCATTATTCACTTCAGATAAAATAGTGTTGCCACCCTGCAGGAGGAAATGCCATGGACTGGAAGGATCACCAGGTATTTATTCTCATCCCTAGGAATAAATGGAGCTGCGGCACGTGTGCACTGTCACCAAGGGCTGACAGGGGACATTTATGCTCTAAGGCTATGCAGAGCCTAAAGGTGGACTTGTACTTGAAAAGGGGGCATTATGTATACAGTATGGAGGTTTTACAGGCCGCACATTTTTTTGTTTGGTTGTAGTTGCACTTAAAGCAAAACAACTTACCTTTTTATCGATCACCTCTGCATTTATCTTATCTTGTTTTAACCACCTCAGGGCCGGCCGTTGCAAAAAAACGGCCGGACGAGAGGTCTCTAGATCTGAGCGGGCGTCTTTAGACGTCCACTCAGCCACGCCCACCTGCGCGCGCTGAGCAGGAAACACCGGCGATTTAAAATCAGGCACTGATGCCTGTTAACATACAAGCGATCCGCCGGCTATAGAGCCGTCGATCGCTTGTATGAGGTGCCGGCCCGTGCCCCCCCCTCCCTACGTGCCCCCCTTCTGTTGTCACGCTGTGCCCGGTGCGAGCCCGGGACCAGCATACGGCCTCTGTCACGGGATCAGAGGGAGCTCGGTACACGAGCTCCCTCCGGTCCCCTCTCCGCTGTCAGAGTGCGGAACTGCTGTATATTACATCACTTCCTGCATTCTTGTGTCACTCTCCAGCTTCAGACGCTGGAGAGAAGCTGATGAAGTAGACCTCTGCTTCTTCAGGGGGGTCCTAGGTGACATTAGGGGTCTTAGAGACCCCTGATGTCTCCATAAAGAGGACCTGCCACATCTTTTGCTATCACATAGAGGGGTTTCTTAGCTCCCTATGTGATAGCAATAAAGTTAAGTGGGAAAAAAAAAAAATAGGAAAAAAAATTAAAGTTTCCAAAATAAAATTAAAGTTACACATAAAAAAGAATTAAAAAAAAATAATTTTTTAAAAGCCCTCACCCATACCTACACGCATGCAAACATGCATCAGGTGCGCATACCTGCGAAAACGATGATTGCGCCCATTAAGCCGCACATGTTACATATCGCCGCGAACGTCGCAGTGAGAGCGATAATTTTAGGGCCATTTTAAAAAGCTTTTAAAGCGTCCCCTATGGTCAATTTTGGGTATTGTAGTTTTTTTAAGCATGACATGTTTGGTGTCTATTTACCCGACGTGACCCCGACTTTTATATTTTACCAAAAAATTGGGTAATAATAATTGTTTCCTAACAATGTAAAAAACACTTTTTCTAAATTTTCAGTAAATTTTCTGAAATATAGTAAAAAAAAAAAAAACCCCAGTGGTGAATAAATACCACCATAAAAAAGCTCTGTCTGTCCCCAAAAAAATGGTATAAAATTCATTTCAGTACAGCGCTGCATGACGGAATAAATGTCAGTCAAAGTACCGCAGCGCTGAATACTGAAAAATGGCCTGACCAGGAAGGGGGTGTAAACACCTGGTCTTGAAGTGGTTAATATTATACAGTACTTCTCAATCATGTGCCCTGTAGACAATACCACTACTGGCTGCCAATACAACAGCTTTTGCCCACATGACCAGGATGTAGGCATTCATAAATGGTGGACTTGTGTTAATGGAAAATGCTGCACCTTCTTTCTTCACATGAACAGGAATAGAGTAGAATACATAATGGCAGGGCCCCATGTACCTGAGCTCTGCTATAATATAATGGCAGGGCCCCATGTACCTGAGCTCTGATATAATGGCAGGGCCCCATGTACCTGAGCTCTGATATAATGGCAGGGCCCCATGTACCTGAGCTCTGATATAATGGCAGGGCCCCATGTACCTGAGCTCTGATATAATGGCAGGGCCCCATGTACCTGAGCTCTGATATAATGGCAGGGCCCCATGTACCTGAGCTCTGATATAATGGCAGGGCCCCATGTACCTGAGCTCTGATATAATGGCAGGGCCCCATGTACCTGAGCTCTGATATAATGGCAGGGCCCCATGTACCTGAGCTCTGATATAATGGCAGGGCCCCATGTACCTGAGCTCTGATATAATGGCAGGGCCCCATGTACCTGAGCTCTGATATAATGGCAGGGCCCCATGTACCTGAGCTCTGATATAATGGCAGGGCCCCATGTACCTGAGCTCTGATATAATGGCAGGGCCCCATGTACCTGAGCTCTGATATAATGGCAGGGCCCCATGTACCTGAGCTCTGATATAATGGCAGGGCCCCATGTACCTGAGCTCTGATATAATGGCAGGGCCCCATGTACCTGAGCTCTGATATAATGGCAGGGCCCCATGTACCTGAGCTCTGATATAATGGCAGGGCCCCATGTACCTGAGCTCTGATATAATGGCAGGGCCCCATGTACCTGAGCTCTGATATAATGGCAGGGCCCCATGTACCTGAGCTCTGATATAATGGCAGGGCCCCATGTACCTGAGCTCTGATATAATGGCAGGGCCCCATGTACCTGAGCTCTGATATAATGGCAGGGCCCCATGTACCTGAGCTCTGATATAATGGCAGGGCCCCATGTACCTGAGCTCTGATATAATGGCAGGGCCCCATGTACCTGAGCTCTGATATAATGGCAGGGCCCCATGTACCTGAGCTCTGATATAATGGCAGGGCCCCATGTACCTGAGCTCTGATATAATGGCAGGGCCCCATGTACCTGAGCTCTGATATAATGGCAGGGCCCCATGTACCTGAGCTCTGATATAATGGCAGGGCCCCATGTACCTGAGCTCTGATATAATGGCAGGGCCCCATGTACCTGAGCTCTGATATAATGGCAGGGCCCCACGAACCTGGCCCCACGTACCTGAGCTCTGATATAATGGAAGGGCTCCATGTACCTGAGCTCTGATATAATGGAAGGGCTCCACGTACCTGAGCTCTGATATAATGGAAGGGCCCCATGTACCTGAGCTCTGCTATAATTTAATGGCAGGGCCCCACGTACCTGAGCTCTGACATAATGGAAGGGCCCCATGTACATGAGCTCTGCAATAATATAATGGAAGGGCCCCATGTACCTGAGTTCTGCGATAATATAATGGCAGGGACCCATGTACCCGAGCTCTGATATAATGGCAGGGCCCCATGTACCCGAGTTCTGATATAATGGCAGGGTCCCATGTACCTGAGCTCGGATATATAATGGCAGGGCCCCATGTACCTAAGCTCTGATATAATGGCAGGGCCCCACAAACCTGAGCTCTGCAATAATATAATGGCAGGGCCCCATGTACCCGAGCTCCGATAGAATGGAAGGGCCTCATGTACCTGAGCTCGGATATATAATGGCAGGGCCCCAAAAGCCTGAGCTTTGATTTAACATAATAAAAGGGCCCCTTGTGCCTTAGCTGTGATATTATAATGGCAGGGCCACATGAACCTGAGTTCTGCTATAATATAATGGCAGGACCCCCTGTAGCTGAGCGCCGATATATTATAATGTCAGGGCCCCATGAACCTGAGCTCTGCTATAATATAATGGCAGGACCCCCCTGTAGCTGAGCTCGGATATATTATAATGGCAGGGCCCCATGAACCTGAGCTCTGCTAGAATATAATGGCACAACCCCCCCAGTAGCTGAGCTCTGATATAATATGACAAGACCCCCCCATACCTGAGTTCTTATAGAACGTCAGCCTCCCCCCATTTCCTACCTCTGATGTAAAATTGCCCCCCTCCCCCATACTCAAGCTCTGATATGCTATGACAGGGCTCCCCCTATGCTCTGATATAATGGAGACCCCCCTCTCCCCGTAGCTGACCTCCGATTTAATAATGGACTGTTAAGCTGCTGCCGTTTCCCCGTTATCTGCTCTGTTTTCCCCCGCTCATGATCCGGTGTCCCCAGATCACCCTTCCGGACCGTCACCCATATAGACAGCGAGCAAAGAGCGCTGAGGATCGCTCTGTCCTCCCTTCCTCGGCCTCTATTGCCGGTTCGCTTTGCCCATGTCAAGTCTGTCTACCAGCCTCCCTCCACCACTATTCTCTGGGCTTCCATCCTCTGTCTAAATAAGCGGGGCAAAGGGGTGTGTTTGTATGGGGAGGCGTGACTTCCATAATCCGTTTCCTCACAGAAAACCACGCCTACATCACTGGTCGCCAACCAATAATACTCACAATGGGCGGGACCATCGTTAATGATTGACAGAGACTTGTGGGCTGGCTCTCGCGTTTCAGTCCATTGACGGCCATTTTCCGCTTGCGCCTGCTTGCGAGGGCTGAGGGGAGGAGGGCGTGGTCTCATGGTCCGCCCCTAAGCGCCGCCTGGCCGTTCTAGTTCGGTATCGCATTGGATGCCCGCTTTGATAGGCGTTTGTATTCGACGAATAAGCTGTCGCGTACGGTGGCGCCCAGCGCTGGGTGTTGGAGGCGGGATTTCTCCGGTGACAGAGAGGAGCGGGCAGGCGATTACCGGAGACCGGAACCGAGCATCTTATCTTAGAGAAAGGTAGGAAGGGGTGGATAGGAGTATAATGTGACTCCTTGGAGCAAGTTAAGGGTGGGTGTAGCAATGTGGTAGACTCGTGGGGGTCTGCAAGGTGGCAAATGTACGGGGGAGGGAACAGGGATGAAAATGTGGAAAGCGGCTGATCGGTGTGTATTCAGGGGGAGGGGGGAGATAAGCTCCCCTATTGTGGGTAAGGGACGGGACCGAGCTGGCTGGGGGGTCGGGCTGCGGCGATGGTTGTTGCTCTTCAGTATCTGGGTGCTGGAAGTGAGGTCATGCTAGAGGTGGATTGTAGTACAATCCGATCCCTGGATGTGACTGGGAGAGGTAAGCTCAGGCTAGCCGTGCAGTGGCGGAGATGCTGATTGTCCTGGCATAGCGGTCTGGGCGGAGCCGAGCGGGGTCACATGGCCACAGCAGATGTAGTCTGGCCAGAGGTGCCGGTCCGGTCACGTGGTGCTGTGCCGAGCCATGTGGTCAGAGCCCCGTCCATCAGCTACTGTTATTGCCCGCTGGTCGCCTGCTGGAATGGGGGACTCTGAGCCATCAAACAGCCAACTTTGTACCGCCACATACTGCGGCTGTTTCTCTAACTCCAAGGGAGCAGGAGGATGTTATTCATGAAGATGGAACACCTAGAAATGATTGTGCTACTTTGTGTTCAACTGGAGGGAGGGGGAGGATCTACTCGGCAATGACAATGTAACTGAGTATTGGCAACAGTGTCAAGATATGTGTGATTGTAAACAAGCTCCCTTCACCTGCTCTGCATTATGTCTCATCTATGTACAGCTGCTACTCGCACACCGAATATTCTAACCGCTCCAGGTAACCCTTGCAGTGGGGCCACCTCCTCACTGCAAGGGTTAACTGCTTGTTATGGTCTTGGGGCCGGCATTCGGAAGATATACTCACTTGATCCTCAGTCCTGCGCAAGGTCAGCGCTCGCCCCCCTCCACGACCTGTGGTGTGTCCTCCCATCTAATGAACCTGCATTTAGATGTGGTGATATCACATTTCCATAGACCGCCAGAGCCTACGGGGAGCAGTCAAGTGGGATCGGGTGAGTATATATGTGCTTGACATGTTTGGTGTCTATTTACCCGACGTGACCCGATCTTTTATATTTTACCAAAAAACTGGGTAATAATAAATGTTTCCTAACATAATGTTAAAAAAAACTTTTTTTTCCCCAAATTTTCTGTAATTTTTCCTAATTATAGTAAAAAATAAAAACCCCAGTGGTGATTAAATACCACCGAAATAAAGCTCTATCTGTCCCCAAAAAATGGTATAAAATTCATTTCAGTACAGCGTTGCATGACGGAATAAACGTCAGTCAAAGTATCGCAGCGCTGAATACTGAAAAATGGCCTGGCCAGGAAGGGGGTCTAAACACCTGGTCTTGAAGTGGTTAATGGAGCCCCGGCCTAGACCAAAATAAGCGGTTAACCCTTGCAGTGCAGGGGTAGACCCTCCTACAAGGGTTAGCTTTGGGAATAGAATGTGTATATATAAGATATGGAATGGTGTGTAAGATGGATTGTAACTTTTATCATATATTTGTGGAATTTAAAAGAAAATATTCTTTAAAAAAAAAAAAAGTGTTGCCTTTTCACAATCCTGGAGTTCCTCTTTAAGCTGCAAGGATATATAACAGATTGGCTTGCTGGCTTCTTTGGCAATGCTGATACCTGGCCGTCATGCTGACCCAGTGGCCCCGATTATTTCTGAGTTGGTGACCGGATTGGCAAAGCTTTGCAGGTCTTATCTGCAGTTGAAAAAGACCATCGACGTGACCCCCATTAATTATTAGAAAATCAAGCCGACGGTCCGAAACCTAATTTGCTCTAACGAAATTCTACTGGTGTATGGTCAGCTTAGGATCCAGTGTGTGGAAAGCTTTAATGCCAGTGAAAAGGTGATCACCAATGACCGTTTTACCAACCATTCTATTCTGGCTTTCTTCAAAGTCCAATTTAAAGCAGAACTCTAGGACAAATTATTTCTAACCCTTACAGTGCCCCCTGCTCCCAGCACTGCATGGGTTAACGCCTCAATTTGGTCTAGGGTTCAAAATAATAAAAAAAAGTGCTCACCCAATCCTGATTTGGCCAGCTGTGACAGTGTTTCCTCTTCTGCCGCAGCAAAGGTATATCGCTCGGTGTCTATGTCCTATACACTGTGTATAGGACATGATGACTCGGGGGACCGCTGCAGCCGAGGGGTAGACAGTCTCCAGGGACCAGTCTGAGAGCAAGCTGGCTTGAAGGATCAGGGGAGTATAACTTTTTTTTTAATTTTCCTCCCTAGACACAAACGTGCACTTAACCCTTAAAGTGCAGGGGGTATCCTCACTGCAAGAGTTAATCATTTTTCCCTGGAATACTTCGTTAAACACACGCATTTTACAGACATAGAATCTGTTTAAGGGCTCATATTCACCACGTGCAGATGAATGTGTTTTTTGAATGCATATGCATTGAGAAAGTAATGTTTGTCATAGTTTATACTATTGCTGTGTCTAAAAAAAAATGCTTCATGCAGCGCACGTGAATGCACTGCAAGACACGTGAAAGCCTCTCTTAAAAAAAAAATGTTACCAGACTTTTTTAAAATAAAGAGTAGCAAAGGAAAAATAATGCACATGAAACACATGTAAACACAACACACAAAAAATGCACATGTGTAACCGTGCCCAAAACTCTCAGTCCCCGTTCACACCGCAGGCGTTTGTCAGCACTGAAATGCTCAACAAATTAAATCCCATTTATTTCTATAGTCCCTGTTCACATCTCAGTGTAAGAAAAACGCCCGTTGCTGGAAAAAAGTTGGGGGCAGGTTAGCGTGATTTGTCTTCATACACTCTATATATGTGTGTTGAGCTTTTCAGCGCTGACAAATACGCGCAACAAACGTCTGAGGTGTGAACAGGGATCAAAGCGGGGGTAGGCAAACACTGGCCCTCCAGCTTTGGTACAACTACAAATCCCACGAGGTGCTGCAATACTCTGACAGCCACGGACATGACTCCCAGAGGCAGATGCATGATGGTAATTGTAGTTTGCCTTCCCCTGGTTTATCGTTTAAGCCATCCCTAACATGGTGTGCAGTTAAATGCAACATTTACAGCTGGAAGCTTACTTGGGAGGCTTTCTCTAGTTGTTGTCAACGGAGCTGGCTCTTAAAAACAGTCCTGCTTGCTCCTGGATTCCGTATTGATTACAACATACATGGGTGGCGGTGTGCAAAAAAACCCAGCTCAATGGACAGGAGACGAACAAGCAGCTGTTCAGATGAAACTTAGCTATGGTATTTCAAATGCAATTGGTGTTCATTATAAATACGTTGCATCATTCACACATAATTGCAGGTAGTTCAACTACATTATGAAGTCATCACTCAAGTTGGCACACATATTGTTTACACATCTTGTTTATTGTATTCATTTCCTGCATATCTTAGCCATGCTAAAGGAAAAGTACAACAGTTAGGATGTTCAGTCCCTTCTGAATTCTGTCACAAGGCTCTCTGGAATCCTCATGCTACATCTGTTGTGTTTGGTTATTCTTCCTAATGATCACAATCATTGTGTACTTCCTCTGTTCAATGTAGTCGGGCACATGGCTTCCCAAACAGGAAGTAAACAATGACAGTAAGGGCCACTGTAGTCTGCTCATACTCATCACTTCTTCCCCCTGTTGGCAACATGCTCCGATCAATGTATTGGCAACGTGCTCCGATCAATGTATTGGCAACGTGCTCCGATCAATGTATTGGCAACGTGCTCCGATCAATGTATTGGCAACGTGCTCCGATCAATGTATTGGCAACGTGCTCCGATCAATGTATTGGCAACGTGCTCCGATCAATGTATTGGCAACGTGCTCCGGTCAATGTATTGGCAACGTGCTCCGATCAATGTATTGGCAACGTGCTCCGATCAATGTATTGTAAATGATGTTCAGCAAGCTCAGCAACTTGAGGCCAGTCCTAAACTGATCTCTGTATGGGGGAGAATCCATTCATCATGCCCTGTCATCAAGGTGTCCAAAGCTGGCCATACACCAGTAGAATCGCGCTCACAAAAAATGTGTTTTTGAAACCTTTGATTTTCTAATAGGGCCGGATCACACCATAGCGGTTCAGTAAAGGAACGGTAGCCATGCATTCATTGCATGATGTATCACAGCACAGTGCACCGCACACTAGGTTCGTTGGTGTATTGTGTAGACATGTGCACCAGCAAAACATTTGTTTCGTTTTGATTTGGATTTTTGCTTTATTTAGTTTTTCGGAATTCGGGTCCCACAGTCAATTCGTTTCGGGATTCGGACGAAATTCGTTAGCGGTAATCCGTACGAAATTTTGTTTCGTTCGTTGCAGCAAAGTGACATTTAAGAGGAAACATTTTTTGTTCTCAAATGTCACTTTGCTGTAACAAAATTTCATCCAAAAAACGAAAGTTCGTCCAGACTACCGCTAACGAATTTTCGGAATCGGAAATTCGGATTCGCTTGCATTCGTTATATCTGTAATTCGAATACATCCGAATTTCGAATCGGAACAAAACGAATCGCACATGTCTAGTATTGTGTGTACATCCGTTCTGAACAGCAACCCAGTGCATCTTTCAGTGGGTGTGCATTCTTCACTTTAATGCATGGTACCTCAATAGCGTACAATAAACAAAGATGCATGCAGCATTTTTTTTCTTTTTCACCGTATGGCACTGCAACAGATACTATTGCAGTACTGTGCCATGCACCTCCGTTGGGGTGCCACTCAGAATGAATGGCAATGCACTAACACATGGGTATCATGCCTTAAGGACAATCTGATATAAACCGGTGATTAGTTGGGTCAAATCAATGATCGTTTTCAACCACAGTGATGGGGAGGGGAAACGAAGGAGGGGAATGGCAAATTTTTCTCGAACAAACGTAATTTTAACAGGGAATGTGGTTTTCGTTCTGGAAAAAACATTCATTTCCGAAATG